CCCATAAAATGGTTGGTCACACTATTCAGCAGCTTTCCTTTAGCAACTGTTCTATATCAAATTTACTGTAAAAAAGCATCGTAATTATGAAGTAACACTGTATCAAATTCACAGACCCAATATCTCACTATGTTTAGTTAAACTATGAATGATAATTGAGCTTGAAATTGTATATTTACTTTAAATAAGTCCTCCAAATCATCTGCAACAATGTGTGCTTAATTCGAAGCCATTAACAAAAGATTTAACATTTCCACATTTATACTCTCCATAATTTCAGATATGATACTCCATACTTAGAGAGAGAGAGACAGAGAGAGACAGGAAAAAAAACTAAAAGCTACTTCTTATAGCTTTTCATTTGCAAAATTAAATGGATGTACCTTAAGTTTCTTACAATTGTTAACCCTGACTGTTAAATGCTGGGTACAAAAGAAACAAAACATTAAAAATCATTCAATATTGCTGTTGCAACCCAAAAAAATAATTCAGTATTACAGGTTTAATAAAACAACCCCAAAAAATTATATTGAACCAAAACCAGACTTGCTTTACGCAAGATAAAATGAGCTCTGAAGACCAAATATTACAACCCTTTCAAAAGCCTAAAAAGCTGGTCTTTTATTCTTACTTTCATGAAAATAATACCAATAGGTAGGTAGGCAAAAAACCTGGAAGGAAATAACTTGCATAAATTGAAACCGAGGTAACGGGTGCTTATATAACTATATAGTGTGTTGCTTAGAAGTATTGATTCTATTGATAGATATTTTAATTATTCCATATTGGAATATGGAAATATGCAAGACCCCGATTTAACAGATCACAAAGTACATCACAGAGATTTTACTGTTGCCAATGACTTGCTAAGGACTCCTGAAATAAGTTAAGTGTTCCTCTGTTTTTGCTATTATTCTCTGAAATGCGGCTACTCATACTAAAAGAAGAAAAAAATCCACAGAAATACTCCAAATCTCTTCACACACAAACTTCATAACAGAGAGGAAATGAAAACTTCATTATTAAGATCTCTACTACATTCAGAAAAGAAACATGCACAAGGTGCTACATCTCTTTCATGCTTATACCTATATTTAGATGCAGGGAAAAAACATTTTTTTTTCAATGAGATTTTCCTGCATTTAAAAATAAAATTGATATTGAATGGTTTCCTATTTAAAGGATAAGCAACTTTTCAGAATTTGGGCCAGGTGAAAACTTGAGCTGCAAATACACCACCAGAACCGAACCTGCCCAAACCAACCCTCTGAAAAATGTAAAGCTATTTGAAACCAAAAGGTTTTTAAATTTTTCTTGCGAGATCATTCATTTAGCCTGGAACACTCCAGATTAACACACAGGGAACACTGCTACCCGCACTGGGCGTGTTTTTGTGAAGGCAAATATGCACACCATGAGAAGCATCATAAAGGATAACACTTTGACCTACTGGTGACTGAAAGTAAGGAAGGAATGATGCTCACTGATGGCCAACCTCAGACCTGCCTACTCGTCATATTAAGCCACCAAAATTGTACAAAAATAAAATGCCAGCAGAGGGCAGCGCAAATACTAGAAGTCCCCTAAAATGCCCCGACCTGGCCAGTGGTGGTGGAAACAGCCTGGTGGGACCACAATGTGGGGTACACGATGTGGCAGCCTGTCCGCTCGCTGCTGGGACGTGTGCCCACCGGGTCCTGCCCTGCTGCTTCTTCCTCTCAGGTAAGAGGTCAAGCACAACAATAACCAAGGCTACTCACTGTTACACAGTTTAGATTTTCTTCTTCCTTTCCAACAGCCCACGCAGCTGGAGACCAACTGACCGCAAGGACAGGCAGCCTTTGCATGCTCTACAGAGATCCTCATAGAGTTCATCACACCAGAGAGGCACCACATGCTGATACAATGACAATAAGCCGAGGTGCCTTCCCTTTTGAGAACTATTAAATCAAGGACACCATTTGACTTCTTTTAAACTTGTAAATCTAGACCTGAGGTACTTTCATTGTTTAAACAAGGAACATAAAATGGATGAATCACCAGAGACATTGGTAAAAGCATCTCTAGAAACAGAAAGAGCATCTCTAGAAAGAGAAAGTAGCATTCCCTTCTGTCCACACTGGATAAAGCAAGGAGAGACCCACCCTATCTAAAGCCATCTCCCATCAGCACAATACCAGAGCAACTCACAATTCCAGCTTGCACCCCCAACCACGAGTACTGCCGTGGGGAGACACCCGGACTTCCAGCAGTCATTGCCAGCACCCAGCCACACAACAATCCTCCATATCCCACAGAAACAGAAAACAAACTGTACATACACGTACCTAAGGAAGAAATCCACAGCAGCCCTCTGAGGTAAAGGACAGCAAACCTCTCCAGTACAGAGAGAGGGAAAGGAGGAGGGAAGACCCAGCTCCCATCTGCCTAACCTGGTGCACCTGCACCCACAGCAATGCCTGACACTAATCTGTTTCCAGAGCAACTAAGCCCACCTTGGCACCTGTGAATACCAATTCACCAATCACTTTTCATCCTCAATCTAGGATCTGAATACATATTAAACAACTTGCCCTCTATTAAACAACAGTACTGTTATATTTGAAGCATTTGATGTTGATGCTAGTCTTATCAAAGATATTAGCATTTACTCTAGTATAATTAACAGCTATTTTACCTCTTGGAAAGGAACTAGCTATTATTAATCTCTTTATACTCCCAACTGAATAAAATCAGTGCACATATTCATTTAAGCTCCAACAAACATAGTTTGGTGATAAATTTCCATTCTCCAGCTTGCCTTTGGCTTTTTTTCACGGTAATGGCTACTCTCTAAACTCTCAGTTTGTATCCAAACAAGAACAAAAATAAACAAACTATAACCTTCTGCATCCACCACAAGACTGGGATTCTGTTTCCCCCTTGGAGCCAAGAATCACATCTCCATCCTGTGTCTCCATCCACATTCTCACTTCCATTCTAAAAATTCACATCTTCTGCACCGAGTGACATTTACAGCCAATGAGCGTCCAGTTTTCCAGTGACGTTCCTATCACCAGTTAGTTTGGAAAGACAGCCTGCTTGTGCCCTCTGATCATCCCTGCTTTTCCCACATCAGTCCCCATGCTGCCCACCCTTCTTTGGTGCCTGCTACTAGAAAGTTATTTATTTGTAGATATGTCTTGAGACTCCCTCAGTATAGCAGTAAATATCAAACTTTCTCTTCCTCCAGAAAGAAACCTCTCCTTCCCAATTTACACTTAACTTGGTAGTTATAGTCACACAGCATTGACTTGATGCCCTTCAGCTGTTTCCAATCTGACCTTGCACATGTGCATGGCAGAGGTGGGGAACAGCAGCAGAGGAGGCTCCACTTTCTTGTGCTCCTACCCCTTTGCTGCTGTGGGGTAGAAGCCCAAGAGATGCAAGGAGCACACCCCAAGACAGTAACAGGAAGAGAGTACGCTGTTTTCTACTACATCTTATCATGTATTGTAAGAGGTAATAAACAAAACTTTAACTTTCCTATGCATTTGCAGTCTTTGTCTCCTAAACCTTCCTCTATGTGTGTCCTGGGCAAAAGTCAGGATGTGTTATGAAAGGAGCAGAAGTCTACATGTGCCAATGGTCCATGCACCTGTTGCTGCACAGAGCAGACTGCTCAGTTCAGCTTGCCTTTCACCTTTGGAGGGGCACAAGGTACTCCCAGCTTGCTGTCAGGAGCACTCCCAGAAGTAGTTCACCTCAAATCCACATATATGAACTCTGCATGAGACTAACAGCTACTTTGAGGGAAACGCACTGTAATTAATGGCAGTAGCTACTTAAAGAGAGCACTGTGATTTCAAATGACTGCTACAGAGTGCAGCTAATGTTTTCTGTACTTCTTTTTCCTTTCTCCAGTTTGAAGTTATAAACCTCTCTTCTGTATGAAAAGAATAAACTTACTTTAACAGCATAAAAACATAATAATTACCTTTCAGTTTAGAATTAATATGTTGTCATGTATTGCTGTGATGCGATTTCTTAACTTAGTTCATGAGTTCAGCATTGTTGATAGTATTGATTGTATATTTGCCTGTCTGGTCCAATACTCCTGTCCACAAACTAGCTTGCACTCAGATCTTTCAGGAATCTTCAACTATTTACCTAGCAGCCACAGACACCCTACAAAGCCTAGGTCTTACCACCACATTTTCATACTGCCAAGATTTGCTAACAGAACAACTGGGGGCAAGCAGGAATTTTTCAGTGATCTTTCTTGAAACTTTTAAAACATACTCTTCCAGATACATTGCATCTGCTATGCACAGAAGGCATAAACAGGTAGCTCTATGAAGTAGGTTACTACTTGAAATAGAGGAGTAAACATTACATTCTGATGGAAAGAGAATGAACAAGTTTACCAGAATCAGTAGCTCTCTACATAGTAGACTTTGCCCTAGTTATGCCACGTACTCCTTGAGTGAGGACTGTTTATAAAGTTTCCCACCCTCAAACAGTTTGTGTACAACACTGCACCAGCACACATGCACTGGCATCTGCTTTCAGTGCTAAACTGTGCTCCTGTGACTCTGATCCTTTCACCTTTCAAGTTGTAGGCCAGGTTTTGTTGATCTAAAGTTTTAAGAGTGTCCTATACTTTTAAGAATCACACTTTTGTAAGCTAAGGTTATAAATACTCTGAACTATTTGCACAGTTTATAGAAAAACTTTTTGGAGACTAGACACTATGACTTCAATACTCATTAATGCAAGCTAACGATTTCCAAATAGAATTACACCACAATAAAAGTGTAACTATAACAACTGCATATGGCAATGCCACATATAACTACCTACAGCTATCTGGCATTCCTTTGAAAATTATCATCTCATGTCCTTAGTACAATAAAATCTGACAGGCTCTGTTGAAAGCATCTTCTAACCATATCTACAAAATTTTGACATACTGATATTTTCTAAACCTGAAGCAATAAGAAAAGCTTCAAACCAGTTGAGAACATTTCTTTTAATAAATTCTTTAAAAAAAATAGTGACATGTTGTTTCTCTACCGTATTTATTTCCAGTTTTCAAGTAGCATTTGAATTTAAATTTTAAAAGTCTCTAGGAGGTGAACATATGATAATGAAAAGCAATTATACAAAAGCTTTGTACAAAACATACTGAAATTACAGAGTAAAGATCAAAATTAAGCAAGAAAATGTTCCATTTACTGACTAATTTCCATGGAGTTGTGCTTGTCAACTTCTGGAATATCTGTTAAGTGATGAAAAAAAGGACGACCATGAACACAGCCTTTCTTTTCCTTTCCAAGCTGTTGCTTCATCCTGTAAATTGCATTTTGTACATCTTCTTTTGACAAATGTAAGGGCAGCTGCCGAGTTAAACGTACTGCTTCTCCCTGTGGAAAGGAAAAACAAAACCAAAATCCCAACAGTTTTAAAGTACCACTTTTTAACACATTAACCTGGGGCTACCAGAAAGCAGGAATTAAGCACTCACTGTTTAAAGGTCACTCTTCTCTTTTCTGCTGATAAATATTCCGAATCCCAGAAACCCAAATGTAAATTTAAACACATCTTATTGGTAATTTCATGACACTTCTACAATGGAGTCATATACGGCCAGTCTCCTGGTCATGTTTGCACTCTTTCTCTTTCAGGGTCCACTTCTGCAAGATGCTTTGTATTTCTGAATATCTTATTTCCTGTTGGCACTAGTATCAGCTGAAGATGTTTACAAGTTCACAAGACACATTCTACACCATAAACTTCAGAACTAACATAAATGAAGTCAAACAGTCAGCTAAACCAAAGTTTCAAAAATGCTACAGTGAAATTTTAGATTAGTGTTGTATTAACACTAATTGTCGGTTACATCCAGTAACTAGAAAGCAGAAGTGACTGCTAAACACAATTACTGAAGTACTCAAAAAATCAAGCAACTTCAAAAAGAAGTTGTCAGGTTTTTTGTTTCCTCCTCCAAGATGGGCCTTACTGCCACTGCCTTCTCTTCTATACTTTAGCAATGTTGCCTAGATGGAAATAGATGTGGCAAACAATCTCCCTTCATGCTGTACAAACCTGAAGCAGCGTTCATAACATTTTAATCTGAATCATCTAATTTTGTTTATCTGGGATTTTCTCCCACTATTCCAAATGGAAAAAAGACCACTGTGGACTATACCCAGGAAGGCTGCTTCTGTAACCATTACCTTATTCTTTCTTCTGGGTCTATCAAAGTACAGCAAAAGCTGCAGACACATTGCCTGCTCAAACATGGAACTGGTGATAAAAGTTGCCATTCTGAACATGACAGTGAATGCTATTTCCAGTGTTTACCCTCCAGAATCGTGAAAAAAACCTCAGTGCTTATTTTTATATTTTTTTTTCATGACAGCAACTCTATATACTTTCTAGTTATTATGTATTTTTCAGTTACTCTTACTGCTGCACATGCATCTTCTTTTTAACAGTTCCTCACAGAATCAACGTTACTCTTAATAAACCTTCCTTTGATAGTCTCTTGATGTATACCTTTAGATGTATGTGTGTGAGTATAGCTATATATATATATGTATACAGATACATACACACACGTGTTTGTATGTGTGTATGTATATCTCTCTTTCTATATATAAACCAATTCTGTCCCACTCAATCTCACTGATAGGTATTTGTAATCAGAGGAAATAAAGCTTCTGGCTCCAAACCAAATTACAAATCATTCCTGTCTCAACACTTAACTCATCTGTTCTTTAAGT